CCGCCCGCCCCCCTCCACCGCCTCCAAAAAAATAAAAAAGTTCATGGCTGCCTGGAACCTCAGAACGTGACTTTATTTGGAAACAGGGTCTTTGCAGAAGCAAGTTAAAATGAGGTCATAATGGATATGGGTGGGTCCTAAATCCCGTGACTGATATATTTATAAGATAAAAGAGAAGATTCAGACACAGACATGCACAGGGAAGGCCTGGAGAAAGAGACTGAAATTAGGCAGCTACAAGCCAAGGATTACTGGGAGCTACCAGAAGCTAAGAACAATCAAGGAAGTATTCTTCCCTAGAGCCCTCAGAGGGAGCTTGGCCCTCATGGACTTCCAGCCTCCACAATGGTGACAGAATACAGTTTGGTTGTTTTAAGTCATACAGTTATGGTAATTTGTTACAGCAGCCCTAGGAAACTAATATACTTCTTATTTGATTTTACCAATCAACAAATATATGTACCACATACTGTGTGTAAGACACTGGTAGAGGTATTATAATGGATATATATGACCAAAGTGCTCCAAAGCACGAAATCAGGAATGACAATACTTACCTATGTGAGTTGGGTATGGAATCCTCAAATAATGACATTGAGCTTGGTCTTGAACTATGACCAGGACCAACAAGGTAGAGTATTCCGGGCAAAAATAACAGTATATGATAAGGCTCAGAAACCTAAAAGGGGATACTAAATTTAAGCTGTATTTAAAAAATTTTTCAATGTGACTGAAATGTATGCTCTGTGTGGGCAGAAAGCAGAAGATATGGCAGAAAAATAGAGCAGAGCCAGATAATGAAGAGACATATAAGCCACACTCAGGATTTTGGACTTTATCCTATAGGCAGAGAAGAGTATGATCAGATTCGTTTCCAGGGACATTTATCCTGGCAGCAGTATGGAGGAGAGGCTAGAGTGGGGGAAATAACCAAAGCATAGGGATGTGTCATCAACCCAGAAAAAATATACTGGGCCTAAAATAAGGAAGTAGCAGTGATAGACAACAGAATCAGGTCTTTCTGAAGAAAAACTGATAGGATTTGGTGACTGAATATGAAGGGAAGGCAAATAGTAGAGGATGATTCCAAGTTTTCTGGCTTGGGAAAGCCAGTTACTAAAATTAACCAAGGTAGTTATTAGAAGGTAAGGTCTGGGTGAAGGGTGGCGTAAAGGGATGAGCTCAGGAGAACATCTACTATTCAGGAGTCAGCTGGAAGCAAAAGCAGCATATAGTGGTAATTAAAGTCATGGAAGGGGATAGAATTGCCCACAGGAGTAAGAAGAGGAGAGGGTTGAGAACAGTCTTGGGGAAAATCAATGTTTAAGGAACAGGTGGAGAAACAGGAGTGGGAAAAGCCCTGAGAAGGCAAGAGGCAGACCAGGAAAAAATGGTCTTCCAAAACCAAAGAACAAGTTATAAGGAAGAGTGATCACATAAACAAAAAATACTAAGGTGTCAAAAGAATTAGGGCTGAAAAAAATGTATTCAGTGGATTCATTAGTTAAACCACTGGCAACTTAATATAACCAGTTGTGATGGCGTAGAAACAGTGCCCTGTGTTGAGAACTGAATGGCAATTACAAAGATATTAGCAACTGGTGAAGATTTTTTTTTAAAAGGTATGATAGTGAAGGCAATTTTACCAACTTCCCTCTACTGTTCAGTCACCAAATCCTGCAAGTTTCCAGGTAAGTGTCTGTTTCCTTATTCACAGCCCTGATCTATTTCAGAAGCTTCAGGGAAGAGGCTATTCTGCACTGAGTCTTCAAGCATGGGACTTTGAGATGCCTGGGGTATAGATAGGCAGAGAATGTAGGAAGCAGCAGTGTATATGAGTAAAAGGGCACAAATGCACAACAGTGGGTAGCGCAGTGTCTTCTGCATTACCTGTACAGGCAGACCACTCTTGCTGGGTTTGCCTTGAGAAACAGCGATAAGACTTTAAAGTTGGGTTGTGGCCACACTGCAGAAGATCCTGAATGCCAGGTTATGAAGTATGGACTAAATCCAGTGGGCACTGTGAACTAACATGAACAAATGACTATTTTAGGAAGGTGAATACAGGGACTGGCCTCTTATAAAGACTAGCAGCAAGGAGTCTGCGGTAAGGGCCTATCCTATCTTCTCTCCTCTAAAACCTTCTTTCTTACCCTAAATTCTTCCAAAGCCAAACTCATGATTTTCTAAGGCTTCCTGGGCTAATACTCAGTTCACAGAGATCTCCTCTTATGAACTTATACATTGTTTTTTGTCCCATAGCTTCTAATACTTAACTATTTCAACTCAATTCTAAGCTCATGGGTGAGTAGGGGTTAGCTTTCCTTGCAATTTGTCTCGAAACCTCATAACTCAATAAATACTGTCAAGTTAAAAAATTACCCTGAAAACATCATTAGAAGGCTAAATTTGTAAAAGAAAATCTCCCCAAACACAAGCCATCTCAAAGTCCATGATCTGGATTATCTAAGCCTTTGTCCCAATTCAATAATCCAAGTCCATTTTTTTTTTTTTTTAATGGCCAGACATGCCAGATAATGGTGAGATGGAAGGTTGAAATAAAAATGTGGATACTTATAGTTTAACCTCATTTTCCAACAGCAAATGTGGCTGGCTTGTCTACTGTACTCCACAGGCAAGGCACCACAGGCAATTTATACCTTGGGTGGAAAACGTCTCTTCCCTAATGATGAAGGAGAGCTTGGGTAAAGTGAGGAGAGGAGTCCACTCTTTTCCTGCTACTTGGGGTATGAGACTTTGCTGGGTTCATTCATTTATTTATTCACTGACATTCACTGAGCTTCTCCAAAGGCCAAACAAGTTAGCAGGTACTGGAATGACAGCTCCTCAAGACTTAGTGCTAAGATAGTGCTCCTGCAGGTTTGCTCCACATGGTCTCTAGAAAACATTAGTTAAAGGCTTTATTTACATGCAGTAGAACGTTAGATAATAGTAATTTTTAAAAAATCAGTACTCTTGTGCCAGGACAATTCTAAGTGTAAGGTAAATCGTGTCCATCTGATCTCAGGCCCCGGTTAGAAGGACAAAATTTAGACAAAGAAAGCCAATTAGGTTAGCTCCTCACCCTTGCTCTTTCGAGGCTCCTGCTCGGGGGATGGAAACAGGGACTCCGGGGACATGTTCAAGCAGCTTCTCCATAGGCTGGGTCCAATCCCCGGTGCTGTTCCAAGGCCAAGATCTTCTCTAAAAATTCTTCAGAACACAACACAAGAGACGGGCAGGCACTTCAGGAAAGGGTGGGAGA